ATTATTCAGATATTAGGGAAATATATATAGCTAGTAAGTTAAGACAAATATAAGAATTATTATTAGAAGAAGCTATATAATATTAGGGACTTATTTATACTTTAATAATAGTATTAAAATATATAAAAAAGGTACTAGTTAAAGCTCTTACTTATAGTAATTAATATTCTTTTAATTCTAGTAATAAGTACTAAAATAGAGCAAATCTTTTTAGGTATTTACTATATAATATTATAGGATAGAACCTAAATAATAGCTGAGATTTTAGAAATAATAAAATACTTAAAGTATTAGAAAAGAAATAGGATTTTAAATATTTTTATTAATACTAGTAAAAAGTAATAAGATTAGTATAAAAATTAGTATAATTATAATTATTTTCTTTATAATTTATAACTACTAGTATCTTAAAGATATAGTATCTAGCTAACTATTACTTTTACTAAAGAAGTTTCTTAAATATTATTAAATAGCTATAGTATCTTCTATAACCTATAATTTAGAGTTAGATAAGAAGATATATTAGTATAAGCCATTTTTTGGCTTCTTTCTAGTATATACTAGTAGTATTACTACTTTATAGCCTTTTCGAGATTTAGTAAAGAAATAAAAGCTAGTAGTATTTAATTTAGCCTCGGATTCTGGCTATTAAATAATAGGACTAGAAAGATTAACCTATTTATTATTTCCCTATATCTAACTAGCTAAGTTTCTCTAAATAGTCTTTTTGCCTAATATAAAGAATTTAGTAGAACTAATAAGTATAATATAATTATTATATAATAATTAGTAATTAATATAAAGATAAATAAAATCTATATCTATTATATAATAATCTAATCTTATAAAATATAGATCTCTTTTTCTTTTACTAAGTTTCTTATTATATTATAAATTTAATATATTTATATTTCTATTTTAGTTAGTTTTATACTAATCTTTATACTAATCCAAAAAAAGATTATATATTTTGGCTAAAGCTCTTTATATACTATTAGCCTTTTTTTTTTTTATTCTCTAAAACTTACTTAATCTCTTTTTCTTAATTAAGCTTTTCCTTAATCTTTTATATTTTCTTAAACTATATATTATTCTCGGAATTATATTTAATATTTTCCTATACCAGATTACTATTATTTCAAGCTATATATAAGCTATTATATTTATTATAGCCAAGTAATTATTTAACTGCTTTCTAATTCTTTTCTTATTATTCTCTAAAGCCAGATTAATATAAAGATTAGTATAGGAATATTCTGAAAATACCTTCTTAATTTAATACTTATAATAGACTCCTATATTATTTCCTACTATCTTAATAATAAAGTACTCTTATATACTACCGAGTTTATTATCTTATATTTTACTACTATAATTATATCTTAATCTACTACTTTTATTTTCTTAATCTTAATATAAATAGGGTCTTTTATAAGAGTTTTATTATACTTATATACTTTTATAGTATTTGGGTTTTGAGATAGATCTATTAGTACTTTTTTCTTATAAGTAATAGTATAAATAGATCTAATAAAAGAGGCTAGTTAAGATACTATATTAATATAGCTACTATCCTATAATATTATAATTAGTATAAAGATTAATATAATATAAATATAGACTTATTTCAGGCTCTAGAGATAATTTAATAATAATTACTAATATTTTATAATTACTAATATATTTAATATACTAATTATAGTTTATTACTATAAAATATATTATAAGAATAATCTATATAGAAATTAGTAAATTAATTAGTATATTAGAATACTAATTTATAGGTTATAATATAGAGTTATATAATAGTATAGTTAAGTTATTAAAAAGAGATTAAAAAATAAGCAAAGTAAGATAAAATAAAATTGACTTTATAATATAAAATAATTCATTTTTAAGATATATAAAATTTTTTTTAAGCTATTACCTTATTCTTTTCTATTACTTTATTTTAGCTAATATCTTTCCTTTAATTATACTACTTTAATTCCTTAATTAATTTCTTAATTAACTCCTTTTATAATATATCTCTTAATTTATATTAATTAAGATATAGTAATTATAATCTCTAGTTAATTATTTAATTATAGTATAAATCAAGTAAACTAATAGCAAGTATATTATTTCTAGGAAGGCTCTTATAGGCAAGGCTCTAAAAAAGACACTTAATAGAAAAGGCTATATTCCTACTATTATATAAAAAAAAATATAGGTTTAGACCTAGTAATTAGTTAATTAGTAAAAATATTAGTATATCTACTAACTAGATTTATAGCCAAGGCCTTTTAAGAAATCAGAAAATATTAGAAGAATACTAATTTATTAATTCTAAAGGTACTATTTTATTAATTAGTAAAGGAAATTTTGGCTTAGGAAAGTAAATAAGATATATATATCCAAGCTTTGGCTTTATATACTTTATAAGAGTTTATAGAAGCGCTTCTTATTACGGAGTTTAAGTATAAGTCATTTTTCTTAATTATACTAATTTTTATACTAATCTAATTCTAGTAATAAACCTTATAGCTATTTATATAAAGCGGGTTACTATCTAGAAAAAGAATATAAAGCTAGTCTAATAAATAAGATTAGTAATAATAGGTATTAGTAAGATTAGCAAATGCCTTATAGTAGTACTATAGGGTAATTAGTTTATTTGGGTTACTAGTAAAGTAATTAGGTTAGGTATTAGGGAATTAACCTTTATATCTAAGGCAAAGCAGTTAGCTAGCCATTAGATTAATAAAGTAATAACTCAAATTATTACTTTTTTAATATATCTCAAATTAGTTATATTCTTTAAAAAACTAGTATAAAGATTAATTAATTAATTAATTAATTGAAACAGAGAGCAGGAGAGGCAGATTCTGCCGGGCCCCTTACTACCTAGAATAATAATTATTGCCAATTATTAATAATTATTAATTATTAACAAATTAGCGTAATTATCTAATTAGAGCTTATTGAGCTTATCGGAGCCCATACTATATGCAAGTAATAGCAGGACACTCTCATTTGGAAAGTAATATTGCTTCTTTGATTTCGAAGCCCTTCGGACCTTGTCGTCTAGGGTTGCTTTTAACCGAGTTGCAATACGACTCAGCTCTCCATAACGCTTTACCGGAACGTCTAACCAGTCTGGGAGGGTCCATTTATTATAGAGCCTGCCGTGTGTTCGAGGGATATGGAAGCCGCCGGGGAGGAAGAAGAAGAGATTATATAGGTAGCAAGTACTCTTGCTAGAGCAGATGAATCTCGGTCGCTAATAGCGTGGATGAAACTCATAAAAGAAGAGGAGCTATATCTTAGCGTGAACCTTCCAGGGTGATTTCTGGAGAGAGGCGGGCATCTGAATCTGGAAGGGCTCCACCTGAACATTTTGAAATACGCGGCACGTCCTGTCCCTTGCAGTATAAACAAGCTCGAAGGTAGCAGAGTAATAGCGGGCCAGCTTGCCAATTGCTTCTGGCAAGTATTGCTTCAAGGTTGGTTCTAGCATCGAGCTCTGAAGAGCTGCGCCTTAACTCGGTATTTATTAAGGTAAGCACGAAATATATTGCTCGTTAGGAAGAAAGCAAAGTAAGAGCATTATAGCTATATATCATTCGACATGCTAAGGGCAATTGATTACGGTCGGAGACGAGAAAGAGAAGGAAGTGGAGTCCTCCGATTTTCAATTACTCGTCCAGCCAATTAATATTTGTTTAACTTTATAAAGATAATTAGCCAAAGGCGCTCTCATGTGCTCTCGTGGCTACTCTCGTGGCAAGATTTGAACTTATTTAAACTCTTCGTCCGCTAAGAGTTAGGCTCCTACTTTGATTAATATCTCCCTTTTCACGTAATAGCACTTTTGTTTATATATCTTGAAAATTATTAGAGTCGCGTATTATACTACTAATATCCTCTTTACTTTATTAAATAAAAATATATCTCCTTCTTATGAAACTTGCTACGGCAATAATATTAAAAGAGACGAATGCCTTATATGTGGCACGAAGAGCTAAGTATTAAAGGATTAAGTATTAAAGGAGTTACAAGCCTAATGAACCTGGTTATATAAGGACACTCACTTTTTCTTCGGATTTTTACCCCCCCGGCTTTTACCCAAGGATCTCATCTACCTTCAGAACTCACTCAGTACACCCTCTCCATTTAGCCTTAGGCTCTAGCACCTACTACTAGTAGTACTAGACCTAGGTTAAATGGCCTCCCCTGAACCCCCGGGCTCCAGCCCCCCCTACAAAGACCCCCAGGACCTCGGAGAGCTCCCAGAGAGCCCTAGTAAATAGCTAGAACTACCTACTAGTACGCCACTAGCTCGTTTCGCACCAGGTGCCCGTTTCGCATTCGATTTATCTACTAATCTGCTCTCCTCAGACGAACTCGCAGCCCCTTTTTCCCAGCCTAATTCGGCTAGTGCGGCTCGACTGAGCCGCATTCAGAACGGGCTAAAGAGAGGCCCTAGCTCAAGCAATATTGATAAGGAATATCAGAACCATGGAAACCACCACTAATACCAAAATCAAGCTTCTAATAAAGCTAAACTACTAATTCGCCAAGCCCGGGACTTAATAGTCAAGGCTATTGCAATTACCACATCACATGACCAGTAATCCCGCCTACTAGATTTAGTAGAAATCTTCCGAGAGTATACTGAATTTAGGCGTATTTAATATACTAGTACTTTACTAGCCTCCCAAGTAGCAAACCTCGAAAATGCTACTAAACGAATTGAGCTCTAAGCTAAAACTCAAGCAAAAACTACACCTGCAAAGTCTACTTGGGCTAATATTACTAACCAAGAACCTATATACCCGGAAAAGGAATGGACTATAGTATTATATACTAAGTCCAAAAATCAGGGAGGAAACAAAGGCCCTAGTACTCGTAATACTAGTGGAAATAGTACTCGTACCACTAGTAAACCAGGTACTCGTACTACTAGTGGTTCTAGTGCTCGTAATACTAGCTCAAATAGCATACGTAATACTAAATCCATGGCCCTCTCTAGGAAATGCACCTTCCTACTAGCTCATATAGAGCAGGCTAGTTCTTTTTTAGCTATTTCTGTTCGCAATTTGCTTAATACTGCTTTCTATTTAAAGGGAATCAAGGAATTAGTAATCTCTATAGTCTCTCTTTTCTTAAAGAGTAATATTATAGTAAATACTACCTCTGAGTTTAACTCTGATTTTTTGGTTTAAAACGAAGTAATTATAAAGGGAGTACTTCCCTTAGTTAAAAAGATATAAAAAGGAGAACCTTGGTATAAAGTTATTATTTATGGTATACCTATTCGTGAGTTTTTTTTTTTTTTTTTTTTTTTTTTTTCCTTTTAACGTGCTTTATTAGTTTAGAACGTATATAGTACGGCTAGCTAAGCTAGCGTGAGTCTCAGTAGCTTATATTACCAGGCCCAAATTCCAATATAGGTAGTAAATAGTTAGGGACATATCCCTGAAATAAAAACTTAAGGAAATAAAGAAAAAATAAGTATAAATCATAATTTCTCCCCTATTCCCTATTTCCCTTTTCCCTTTTCCCCTATTTCCCTTCTCCTATTTCCTCCCCTATTTCCTCTCCTATTTCCTCCCCTATTTCCTCCCCTATTTTCTCCCTTATTTCCACTTCTTTCACTTCTTCTACTTCTTCCACTTCTTCTACTTCTTCTACTTCTTTCACTTCTTCTACTTCTTCTACTTCTTCCACTTCTTCTATTTCCACGCTTCGCTCAATATACCATTTTCTTGTATATATACTAGTTTCTTTTAAGAATACTAGTATATTTAATATCCCAATTTCCGTATATAATAGTAATCGTAGGTTAAAAGCACTAGCTTCCAAGCTCCCTTTAAATAGACTAAATAGTCTAAGTTATTCCTCCCTATATAGTATATAATATAAAAGGAGGTGCTTTATATTCTTAGTCTTTCCGCATTTGTATTTATTATTAGATATTATATTTAGCCTATATAAATAAGACTTTAAATATCCGTGGCCTAGCTTTAGCTAGAAGAAGGTACTAGCTAGGGGCCTAAAAGTTCCTAAAGATAGGTTTATCTTTCTAGATACTTTCTACGGATATATATTACTATATAATTCTAGCTGGGTTTTTGGTTTAGTATAAGATTCTAAAAATAGTCTATACTCTAGTTTCTTAACTTTATTAATTTTAATCCCTAGGAAAGCAAAGAAGGTTTTTACTAATTCAGGTTCTAATATAGGAGAAGTAGTACCTAGCTTAGCTAGTTCGTCTGCTTCTTTATTCCCTATTATATCTATATGCCCTGGAACCCAGATTAGTTCTATATTAGCTTCTTTAGCTTTAAGGGCCTTAGTAGCTAGTATAGCTCTAATCTATTAACTTTGTCCTGGCTTATTAGAAGGAGTTTTTAATCTTAGTAAACTAGCTTGGTTATTTATAAAGATATTAAAAAGCTTTTTTTTTTTTGCTTTACTACTAGTGTACTTAATAGCCCTAGTAATGCCTTCTAGTTCTCTATTATAGACTATAGTACTAGCTCCTATATTCTGGCTTTCTCTATATTTAGCTATAACCGGAATATAAGGGGTTTCGTGACTATAGACTATGAGTTCTAGGCCTATTCTAAGTCCTTTTTTAGTTTGAGATTTATCTATATATATAGATAGTATAGAGCTATTATTATATAAAGTCTTTAGATAGAAGTTATATAATATAGTAGTCTCTTTCTTTGGCTCTTTTAATATAGTGATTTTATAAGGCACTTCTCTGTCCTAAAGGGCAAAATAAAAGTGTCTTATAGTCTCTAGGTCTTTAGGGTCTATTAGATTACTAATAAAGTCTATTATAGTTTTTACTTGAGACTTTTTGGCCATGCGATTTCGCTTTAGATTAGTATTTAGACTATAAATAGAGTCTATATTAGATTCTACTAGTTCTAAATTACGGGATCTTTAGAAGGACTTCTCGAACTCTAGTCTAATAGGGTATTTTAAACTTAGTTTAAGGATATAGAAGGCATATTAACGTCGACTATGATTTAGCCTTATAATAGGTAGAACTAAAGCTAATTTGACTTTTATAGGAATAATAGGAGCAGTTTTGAATACTCCTAGGGTTTTCCTTAGGGCTAGGTTTTAAATCGCCTGTAAAGGCCGAATTTGAGCTTTACTTTCAGTCTTTTACTATAATATAGAACCATAGTCTATTATACTAGTAATACAGGCTAAATATAGCTATCTAATTATAAAAGGGGATAAGCCATGCGATATATTCATAAGTCTTTATACCCTATAAAAGGCTTGTTTTGCTTTGGAAGCCCTATAGGCTATATATTCCTTAAATCTGAGATTTTCATTAAAATAGATCCCTAGTCATTTAACTACTTTACTAGGGGAAACTAGTTCCCTATTAGGTAGTTTTAGACTAGGCTTATTTTTGGAATTATTAAAATAAATAAGCTCTATTTTATCTATATTAAAGCTAATAGTATTCTTTTTCCCTAAATTGACTATATTCTTTACTTCTTTTTCTAGAGTCTTAATATTTTTCTTTAGACTTTTAGAAGTAGTAGTAAGGAATATATTATCTAAATAGGATCTGAATTTAATATTTACTAACTTAAATAAGTCTCGGATATAGATAAGAAATAGTATAGGAAATATAGGGCTACCTTGTGAAATACTAGTAAGTATAGACCTAAATACTTCAATACTATTATTAAAAGCTAGTCATAATACTCGGTTGTCTAGGAATAATAATACCTATAGAATAAGGCTAGTAAGTAGTAATAAACTAATTATAATCTATAATAGCCTATTCTTGGATACGTGATTAAAGGCGCCTTTAATATCTAGGAAGAGAGTACTAGTTTTTAGCTTATAGGACTTATTTAATTCTACTTTATTTTGTAATAGTAAAGCAGTATTAATAGCTGACTTATAGAGCCTATCTCCTATTTGGGAATAATATAATAGGTTACTAGTCTCGGCTAAATAGCTAAGTCACCTAGCTAGTATTCTCTCAGAAACCTTCCCTAAGTAATTAAGTAGGGAAATAACTCGATATACTTTGGGTAGGAAATAGTTTAGTTTCCCTGATTTCTTTAGAATAAAGCCAGTAGCTTGTTTCCAGACTTTAGGGTAATATTCCTTATTAATAAATAAGGAGTATAGCCTATAAAAGATATCTAGAGAAGCTCTATAAGTATGAACTATAATCTCTTAAGTAACTAAGTCTGGTCCAGGGGTTTTCTCCTTTACCTTAGAAATACAGGCTTATTCTAGCTCTATTTTAGACAAAATAAGCTAGTCCTACTTTGAGCTAGACCTATAGTTTATTAAACTAGTAGGCTTAGTAATAGGAAGTAATAGGAAAAGCATAGTTCTAAAGATATTATATTTCTCTTGGAAAGTCGATTTTAGCTTATTTGAACTATTATCTAAGATACTAGAAATAGGTTAATATATAGTATCTTTAGTATATTTCATAGCTTTAAAAATCGACTAGGGGTCTTTATTCTCTAAGAACTTATTCCAGTATGCTAGCTTAGTACTCTTAATAGTATTAAAATAGGTATTTTTTACATTTTAGAGTTCTTATTTATAAAGAGTATACCCTAAAGCTTTAGACTTACGGCTATAGTATAGTATTAATTTATATAAGGTCTTTAAGTCCTTATTTCACTAGGGTTTAGAATATAGACTAGTAGTAGATTTTGGAATACTATTACTAGCTGCTTTCACTATTCTATTAGTAAAGTCTTCTGCTAATAGGTCTAGTTCATGGTTTCCAGGTATACTAGTAAGTGAAAAGGGCATATTCTCAAGGCTATTAATAAGATAGCTTATAAATTTAGCCCAGTCCGCTTTCTTAGTATTAAATCTAACTGGATTAGAACTAGAGCTATAAGTCGACTTACTAATAGTAAATAGAACCCCGAAGTAATTGGAACCTAAGTCTAATAGTACTTGCCAGTCTTTAATCTTAGTTACTATTTCACTAGTAGTAAAACTTAAGTCTAATACGGAAGAAATAGACATATTAGGTCTATAGAAGATATCTTCCCCTGGTTTATTTAATAGCCTTAAAAAATGGTTCTTTATATAGCTAATTAAATGAACTATATAACTACTTTAAGGTTTAAGGAAATCCCACCAAGAATAATATATATTAAAATTACCTAGTAATAGAGAGCTATTATAGAGAGTAATAGGTAAGATATTCTTTCTTAATATAGTTAATATACTATTAGGATTTTCTGAGTAAATTATATTATAGAAATTAATTAGCTATATTTTTAGTATACCTAGACTTAAGTCTATAATTAAGTAATTAAAATCACTTAGTGAGTTTGAGGCTAGACTAGCTTGCAGTTCGCGAGCTATATAAAATAGGGTTCTAGGCCTCAGGGTACCGTAATTCGGGAGTATTTGGAAATAGCTAGAGTATATAATAAAACAATATTCCCGATTATTATTCCCTGCTATTACCCAAGGCTCCTGGATTACTAGGACTTTAATATCTAGTTCTATAGCTATTTATAAGACGTTTTTAGTAGTAAAGCTATTACAATTCACATTAACTTATAGTACTTTAATATAGCTACTCATTAATAGTAATAGTAGGAATTATAGTAGTAATAGCTTTTTTAATTACTAAGTAAACCTCACATAGCTTAGAACTAGCTAAGTGAGTAGTACTTAAGTAATTAGAGTATTTAGTAGTTATGTGGGGGCATTTTTTACTCTTCTTCTTATAGATAAAGTAAAAATAGTTCTCAGTCACGTGACCCTTACTATATAGTAAGCACTTAGGTTCCTTTTTGCAAATAGAATCTAAGTGCCCGTATCCTGCATACCTAGTATACTATATAGTACTAGAAATAGTATAGTATTTTATTACTTTAGCAGAGATCCCGGCTATAAGAAGTCTATTTTTAATAGCTCTATTAGCTTAAATCTCGGTAGGGAATACCACTACTACTAAACCGGCTTGCTAGAGGCCTGAGTCTCTTTTCTCCTTAGAAGTAGCCTAATAGGGCTGGCTAATAGGCTCTAGTCCCTTATTAAAGGTCTTGATTTCTTCTAGAACTAAGTTTATTTCTTCGGGTATATTAAACTCACGAATAGGTAAACCGTGAATAATAACTTTATACTAAGATTCTTCTTTTTATACGCTTATAACTAAGGGAAGTACCCCTTTTATAATAGCTTAATTTTG